CTTGCTTCCATAAACCTATACTAACATGCAACCACTTTATTCACGCCGACCCATTCACGTACTCTTAGCCAATTTTCCTCATTGACCGATTGACTTGTCGCGCGAGTCCTCGGCACGTGACCCGCGCGTTTCGACCACCGAAGTTACACCTTTTTCTGTGCCGCTGACCGGTCCCATCGGCCCCGTGCCCCGGCTCTTTCACGAGCTGTCGTGTTTTGACACATCTGCGAGCATAGAAATCGCTTCGTCGCGACGCGGAACGAATTCCGCCGCGACTGGAATAGCCGACATTACCGCGTAAGTCAACGGCGAACGATCGTTCCGAAACGTTCGACCGACACGCGAACGGAGCACGCAGCGTCGATCGTTCGTTCCAAGCACGGGCTCGATCGGCGAATACAGCCGATTGCGATTCGAATCGAGCCTAGGATTTCTCGGAAACGTGACGTTCGCGGTGTAAACATTACACGGTATTAAAATAAGAAGCATCGATCCCAATTCGGAGAGTATAATTAATTAATTGGTGATCGCGAATGCTTCGACATCCTATTACGCGGTGCGGAATAGGTTCGAGAACACCCACGCCGCGAGTGCGGTGAAACGCGACGAACGTATTGCATCGCGATACGTTTCGACCCCGGGAAGACGGTTCCCAAGGAGAAATCGCAGTTTCCCTTTAAAGCGGAACGAAAAGACAAGATCGGGACACGTCTGCCATTTTTACGGCGCGCTTAACGCCTGCCTGCCCCGTGACGGGAACGCGGGCAAACGTTCGCGCCTTCGTTATCTCGCGCACTCGCCACGCCGATCTTAATTAGCGTAACGCGCCACTTAAAGATGATTACACGCGTCACCGAACGAAACAAACGGTATCAACCGGGGATTACCCGTATCTGGTCTTGTCCCGGTTAAAAACGCAGGTGTTCGGAGACGAGCGAACCGCGGACAGGACGGCCACGGTGCCGCGGTAATAAATTAATCGTGGTTTTCCATCGGCGCCTGTCCGGGTGGCAGGGGTGGTCGCCGGAGAAATAATTGCGAGTAGGTATCCGATTGTCCGGACGGTGGTTCGAAGACAACGATAACATCGGATTTCAAGGCGCGACGATCACCGCCGGAATCTCTGGATACACAGTCGCTTAAGGGCGACTCTCTCGTTAAACGATCGATGCTCGGCATCCCGTGGCACACCACGAAAGCACATTCGAACAGGGCTTAAAATACTCCGGGGTTTTATATAGAATGTAGTTCATGCTCATCATCCCGAAGATCAGCCGGCTGAGCCGTTCGACAAACCGTTCGAACAAAAAGCACTGAAAAAAAGACAACTCGGTGCAAATAACCTTTGCTACGTTCTCTCGGTCTCCCCCTTGGCCTCTTATCTCTCTTTGTTTCTCTACGCCTTTCCCTTCCTTTCGATTTCCCTTCGTTCTCCCATCGATTTCCCGTTCCCCTCTTTCCATCCACCGCCCCGTCTCCTTTCAGTTTTCTTCCCGTTTCATCGCCGCTTCGAATAGCTACGTACCAGCACTACATATATACATACATGCCCTCCTTTTCTATCTTCGGGTCTCATAGGGCAGAGCTCATTGCTCAGGAGAAATAGAAGGGAAAGGGAGAGAGGGAACGGAATTTGAAACTGAGGCAAGCCGCTTATGAAGCTTTCGTGTAAATCACCGGTGAAAGTCACTGAGTTACTAAGTCAATGAATTACCCGGCTCGCCGACCGAGTCAACCGAGGTCACACACGGCTCGGGGTTACAGGGCATTAGTAACCGTCCTGACTACCAAATCGCCGATCTTTTCTCGATCAGATGTAGGTATCCGTGCCGTGATCTTCCGCGCTTCGTTGCCTACACGCCTGATTGCCGACGTTTCGCTCGGACGTTTGACGTTCCGATATTAATTGGATCCATTCGCCGGGTCCTTCCTCTTAATCCAATGCGTGAACCGTCGTGCGGGTGATCTCTTATCGGCGATCTCGCCCGCGTTGCTTTCGTCGTAGGACTACCGTTCGATTCACCGAATCATCCGTCGTAATGTAAATTCGATCGACTGCACAGACACGGGGAACTCTATTACGCGCATTATAACGCCCGGGAATCCTCCGGCAGCGCCCACTCGGCCAACAAATCCCGCTACCTACGCTGCCATCGAACGCCATTGATAATGATTGATCGCGCAAGTGCAGATAGAATCGCCGCGAGGGAAAAGTCATGTTCAGGTGGATCCCGAAGTCGCTCTCGAGTGGATACCGCGCGAGAGGATTCGGCTATTCTTCGGCGAGACGGTTTTGCTGGTCATCTCGGTGGCCCCCACGGGAACCATTGACAGTCACGACGCGTTTCGTTCCGCAGGTGCCACGGAAAATCGTCCTCGTCCCGTGTGAAGGATCCGCGTCGCCCGTAGAACACGCGCGGCCACTTACGAGTGTGACACGAACGATCGAGATAACAATGAAGCCGACGTCCTGAGAAATTTCAGTGGTATCGCGTTACGCGCGCGGGACTTGTTGATCGACGCCCGCTTATAATTCGATTTCTCCCAAACAATGGCCGATCTCCGGCCGGAGCCCCCGCGGAGGCCTCAATCCTGCGGCCCATTCACGTAATTCTGCCGTGTAATACTCGCGGGAACCAAGATACCGATCGTCCAATACGAAATTGATTCCCCGTGGTCACCTGCGTCACCGTTGCCGGCCTACCACGAATTTTCTTTTCTGTCAAAACACGAATGTCGCTGGACAGATAGACGCGTTCACCTCTGCATCGGATCTTCCGCGCCCCGTGGTTCGAAAAATGAAAGAAGACCGACTGGAGGAAGGAGGAGATCCGATTACGTGGCTTGAATTCGACTTGTTCCGGTCCGCGCGGAAATCGTAAATCGCGTAACACCGGGGCCAGGAAGCGCCGGGCCGAATAGGGCTCGTAGAAGTGGGTGTTCCCACATTTATTATCCTTCGAGTCGAACCGGGACTAACGAGTTTTTGATCGCTGCTGTCGGTGCTGGTCCATACAGGCGATTCCATTGGTCGTCCATCGTCGGCTACCTGCTCCGACTTCTCCTCGTTCGTCCTCCGTTTCTTCCTCCACGCATTGTCCATGAACTGGCATTCCACCGGACACGAAAGATTTCCTTGGTACAAAGCGTGCCCGACTCGTCCGCCCCCACTTCCTGTTCCTTTCTATAGCGCCAAGCGACTTTTCAGAGTTGCCGGAGGTCACCGTCTCGGGAAGAAAAGTTAAAAAGTTCACCGGAAACAAGCGTAATTTACAATTAACGTCACGGCTGCTCTTTAACTCTACGAATGGGGAAAGTTTAGTGACGACTTCATAGAAGGCGATAACCAGGAGGCACGTTCGAATCTCGTCTCATTAATTTTTCCGAACGTATCTCCGAGCGTTCTTCTCCGACGCGCCGTAATCGCCTTATCAGACCTAACATAAATAACCGAAGACTTAACACAGCGTCTAGAAGCTGAGAAGTTAGACGAAGCCCTTGAAGAGCAGGGTCAAAATAGACCCAGACACCAACGACGGAGAATCGAACGAGGTCCTCGGTGTGTCGGCGCGGAAGAATGGAGAAAAAATCGTTGGTCGGTGGGCGAACAGCGAAAACCGGCATTCCATTTTGCAGGCTGCCGGCCAGATTTCCCTGGGGGATCTAGCTCGGCATAGGGAAAACGACGTCGGATAGGGTGGCCCGGACGGCGGCTATTAGCGATCACAAATAGGCTATTAGGGGCCCATTAATATAGTGCAGCAGTGAGGCGCGCGTCGGCCGATACACGATTCGTAGATACCAGACTTCTATCGGACCCGCGGTCTCGCTCTCTCTTGACTCTCCTCTTCGTCGCTCCTGTGTCACGCAACTCCCCCTGGACGGTGGTACTTCTCTGTTTTTACCACCGACCGGTGGTGTAGGGTTTCCACGAGCCCCAGAGACCGGTAATCCGAGATTCACTTTGTGCGTAAGGCTCTACGAGTAAGCCGAGTGCGTGTGCTCGCGCGTGCACGCATCGCGACGTCCCGCTGCCTGTCATCCTGCGGATCCTCGCTTCCTCGCTCCATCGGAAAATGGCGAATGTTCGATCTCCGACGCGCGACTCCTGCTCGGATCAGCGAAAGCGGC